AAAAGGCCATAAACATAATAAATACATAAATTATATAGTATGTTAAAACATGACAAATGTTATGAAAAAAACAAAGCAGGCTAAGAAGGATCAGGAGTGGTTTCAATTTGGAATGAGAAAGTGAGGATGGGCTTTATTGGAAAGGTGATAGTTGAGCTAAGATTTGAAGGAGGAGAGATAGTGAGTTATAAAGGTATCTGGGGATAGAGCACGTCAAACAGAAAAGCTGTTGCAAAAGCCCTGAGCAGATCCATGCCTGGCAGGTATGAGAAGCAGGGAGGTGGGCCAGTGTAGCTGAAACAGAGGAAGCAAGTGGGAGAGAGAGTAGTACCGTGTTTCCCCCAAAATAAGACCTACCCATAAAATAAGCCCTAGCAAAATTTCTAAGCATTTGTGCAATATAAGCCCTACCCCAAAAATACGACCTAGTGATGGGTGTGGTGATGCAGCATATCTGCACAACCCATGCATTTAGTCAGGGAGGGGTAAAGAAGATGAGCAGCCCTTCTCATCTGCCCCATGAGAGCTCTATTGCTCGACATGAGAGATTAGGGCCAATGGTACTAAAGGAAACAGAGTCGCAAGAAATTCAGGATGGAATTCAGGGTTTGGAGAGTTACGATGATGTTCCAGAAGAAGATGACTTAACTATATTTGAATAAATGTAGTTTGTTATACCATACTTAAAAAAAAAATATTAATGCAAAGTGAGATGGCAAAGAAAAATAAAAAATAAAAATAAAAAAAAAAATAACACATCCCCTGAAAATAAGCCCCAGGGTGTCTTCTTGAGGAAAAATAAATATAAGACCTTGTCTTATTTTCGGGGAAACATGATATCTCTATAGTCTGTGGCTTTCTGTTGAGTCATTTTTGCCACTCCAGTGACCTAAATGGCGTGTCCCAGATCTTATAAATGGGTACATGTGTAGAGGAGGAGCTATCTGGGTAGGGATGTGGCCTAGACATCTGATAAACTTAGGTTTGAATCTCACCTCTTTTCTCACAAGCTATATTATTCCAGCCAAGTAACTTAATCTCTCTGATCCCTGGTTTCCTCATCTTTAAAATGAGAAAAGCATAGACCTTATAGCATTTATGTAGAAGATTAATAAAATCATGTATGTAGACTACCTGGCATAGTACCTGGTACAAAGTAAGTTCTCAAAAAAATTAGCTTTCCTCTCCCTTAATTCTGGTGTGTTGCCCAGGACTTCAGTCCCCTTTCCAGAATGGACACCACTTTGCACTTGCCAGTTTCACTCCCAGAACTGGAGTCTCTGCTCTCAACTCAGTTTAGTCTCCTACTTGTGTTACAGGTGGAGAGGAAACCCTGTCTTAAACTTTGCTTGTTGAAAACCTCTGCTACTTAACTGTTGGGGAAATATGATTGAGGAATTAATGAAATGTTGCTCATAAGATCATTATTCTATTATATAACCCAATATTACTATATTAAAGACAGAAACAGGACTTTGCAGGGTTTTGCCCTGAAGGAATGTGTGGACTCAATGGTTCACTTATTAGAGGCTGCTATCATGGGAGAGCTCTCAAATCTCTGGTGGGGATGTTTTCCAGGAAGGCTTCCCAGTATCTCAAAATCTGTGAGCTTCCCTGTGTCTTGAAAGATAAGACAAGACAAACATTGCCCACAGGATGGGAGCCAGAGACAATAAGTGCACTTTGCCCAGAGAAGCACCCGGGGGGTTGTAAACAACCTGTTTTTATTAAAGATGGGCTTCCTGTTCTCCCCTGTCTATCTACCTTTAAGTTCACCATAATTAATCAAAGATATATTGAGTCACTATACCTCTTTTGTTATACCTTTGTTAATTGACAACTATTACCTCTTTAGAAGTTAGCCCCTAAAAGACTTTGTACCTGTTTGTTCACCTAGATAGATTAGAAGCCCCCTTGAGAGGACTTTTGACCCTAACCCACTACCTGTATCCTCTAGCAACTGTATTCCCTAATATGCAAATATGTTACCCTGACAACTGGTAATTGATGTCTGTGATTATAAAAACCTGTATGAATCTAACCATTTTGCTGGCTGTTGTGGGGATCTGCCAGTCCCCTAGGAACCTCCCGCTGTGTTTTATAGGATCTATCTATCTATCTATCTATCTATCTATCTATCTATCTATCTAATAAAATTATAAAGTATACCCTAGTCTCTGTGTATTCTTTTATTTCTCTCTGTTGCCTATCAATTTCCTTATCTTCTGTGGCGATCCCTATCTTAGGGACCTGGCTCCATGGGGAGAAGTAGCTAATCTCCTCTCAGGCCTGCCTCAACTACTCTTGCCCTGCACTTAACTCTGGATGTCTCCTTACCCCTATCCCGTTAGCCGGTTCTTAGATGTGAGGACTTTTCAGAGGGAGTCCTCTGGCAACACCAAACCTCCCCTGCCCACATCAGGGTTAATCCCTGGAGTTGCAAAACCGAGAAGGCATGGCTGGAGGTGGTTCTTGACTTTTCTGATCTGTCCTGTCCTGCCTTAACAAACTGTCCAACAAGGGGTAGCAAAAGAGTGTGCCTAATTTTAATAAAATCAGTTATATGAAATGGCAAACTTACAAAATGTTTACCTCAGGGAAAAATTAATCCACATTACAAATGCTCTCCAAAGGATTTTTCCTGAATTTTCCTCCAGGAATATATATTTTACAAAGTGAGGCACACATAAATAGTTTTGTATCCTATTAGGCTCTAGGCAAGTGGTGGTCTTTTCTTTAAATTTTTACCGTTGTGAACACCAGTGCTTGATAAGTTACTGAGATTTAATTAGATCTGAAAACAACAGAGTCTTAAAAAGCAAACACACAGGCTCCTATATGTTGCATTTATAGCCACTAATGAAAATCTGTCTTTTTCATAATTTGGATAAACTGGAGGCCACTTTGATTTTATGTTGTTAATAATAGTAGTACAAGCATTGAGCCTAAATTTTAGGAAACTGTGAAGGTCAATTCCGAACAACTGACTCTAACATGAGAAAAGTCTCGTTTTTTTCTTAACCTTTTTGGGTTCCTGCTAAAGCACCGGAAATGCAGGGCAAGGGTTAGCAGGATCTGCGGCTGCGCAGAAGGCCAGTGCCCCAGAGGGCGCTTCAGCTGCTGTGCCCCCAGAGGCTGCTGGGCCTCTCTGCCCCGCCCCCAGCGGTGCTCAAGCTTGTGGAACGTTCTGGAAGTTTGGGAGCAGCTGCGCTGGCTCTGAGGACCTGCGATCAGGTGTGTTTGTTGCCTTGAGAATGATGCCGGGAAAGACCTGTCTCCTGTTTCGTCACGTTTTTCTTTCTTTATTCTTCTGACAAGATGTTTTTTTACTTAGTCTTGCCAAGATTAAAGCCTGACCTCAGGGATTTGGTAGGGTGAGGGAGGATCCTTCCCACCTTTTTTTCCCTTGAGAGTCCCGCGCGGAAAGGAGTTTCCTCAGGTTTTTCAGGTAGGATCGTGGAACTGCTGCCCTGTGATCCACTCTGCGAATTTATGTTTTATTTACTTTAGGCTTTGTTCCTCACCCAAAAAGTAAAAAAATGGAAGAGGTCGTGAAGATCCATTGTTGACAAGTGAGGAGACCGAGCCCGGGAAGGTGACGTACTGGAGATTATGGTGCAGTGTTAATCTTACTTAAATTTGAAAACACTCTATAGGGTTGGGGAAAACAAACAGAACTAACAACTAAACCCAGAACACTAGGACCTTGGAACTGGCTAATGCTTAGAGGCCGTTGGGTCCAAGCCTTTTATTTTCAGTTGAGGAAGCTGGACAACCAGAGGTGAAGTGATTTGCCCAGAGTCGCGTAGCTCTGCAGCGGGAGAGTCCCCAGCTCCGCTGCTAGTCTAGAGCTTTTCCCCTGAGATATTGAAGAAGCTTTGCTGCCCGGGCCCTGCTTTTCCGATTCAGTCCTAGTGTTAACAGCATAGCATAGGTGTTACTAACCCCCGTTCTCTTCTCACTTATTAGTGCACAAAATTGTTATTCTCTGGCCCTTTTCAGAAAAAGTTTGCTGAGTTTGCCTTAGGGCATTAGAGCTTAATATCCCAGAACCCTAGTTAAGAAAGAGGGTAGTAGGTATAAAATGGTATCTCTTTATGGTCTTAATTTGTATATACCTAACTTTTTGAAGTGTTATGTAAAGTGAACGTTTAAAAGGTAGGTAGAATTTTGGTAGTCAGATCAGGATGGTTGTTTCAGATGAAGTACATAATATGATAATTGAGGTGAAAAAAAGTATAGGTTATGTTTGGGATCTAGGAAACATTGTAGTTTTGATCTTACAAAGTATTAAATAAGGTGTAATAGGACTGGCTACATACAGGGCCCAGTGTAAAAGGAAAATATAGGGCCACTTGTTTAAAAATTAATTTCAACATAGCAGTAGCAGAGCATTACACAAGTGTAGAGGCCTTTTAAGCTCTGGGCCCTGTGATACTCTATAGAAGTTGGCCTTGGTAGTGGTAAATAATTTTGTAAAGGAAGCTTGGGACTAGATTTTGGAGAGGCAAAACTCAATGCTGGGCTGAAGAATTTGGATTTGATTTAATAAGGTTAGGAAGCCATTGAAGTTTTCTGAACAGAACAGTGACCTACTTATGAAGCCAAGTTTTAGGAAGATTATATGAGAGGAGTTTGTAGAATAGATTTGAAAGGAGTCAAGGAGACCAGGTGGGAGGGAATTACAATAGTCCAGGGCAAGAGAAAATGAAGATAGAACTAATTAAAGAAGGGGGAAGAAAAAGGAATAGACCTAGGTTTGAACCCATTTGCTTTTATTCTGTAGGAGTATCTGACCTTTAGCACCATTCTCTAAGCCTAAATTTCTTACACTGTAAAATTAGATCATAATTATTTTTTTTCTTTTCACACTAATTCAAAAACTAGCCAAAGCTGAAGTTTAGTGGTCGATGTCTTGGTCTTTTGAGCATTACTCACATTGTACATATAAATATATATGCGTGTGTGTGTGTATACATATACACCTGTATATACATAAATACACACACATTTAAATATATTGTCTAAGTCAGAATAAAAGTGTAGAGATGAATATCTATATTTAACATTTTATTTGGGAAGCAAGATTGTAATTTAAGCCATACATACAAACTGGTCTTCCATATGAAGAACAAAGAGAAGGTTGTAGGTTATAAAAAGGAGAATGTTACATATTGTTTTGAAGATTTTATTGACACTGGTAAAGTTTTGGGGAGCCAGCAAGCTCTGATTGCTGAGTGACTGTGGTGGGTAAAACTAGTCAAGAGTCGCAGTAGGTTGTTTCAGTAGCTATTAGATAAAACTGGTGTCAGGTTACAAGAGGCAGTTTCAACAACTGGTCTTGTGAAATATTTCGTTCTTGGAGCAGGTATCATGTGCCTCTAGTGTTTTTTTTCCCCCTGTTGGCTCCTTGACTCTGATTTAGTTGTGTATGACAAGAAAGACCCAATTTGTATAATCAACTTTCATAATATATAATATGCACACATTTTCATTCCATTTCTAAATGAACTTTTATATTGTGATAGTAATGCCTCCACTCTGAACAGCCCTTAATATTATAACTAAGTTTGAATCATTTCAGTTTCCTTTCTCCCATCTTGTCTCCCCAACTCCCTGTGCTGAAAGGAAAAGCCTGGGATGTGGATCCCTTAGTTACCCAATTAATTCAAATAACATAATGTTTATTAAATATCTACTATGTGACTAGTATGGAAGGAGACCAAAACTTGGAATATCATCAGGGAAGGCTTTGTGGAAATGTTGAGGCACAATCTAAACTACAAAAAATAACTACAGGATTTGAAAATTCTAAGAGGAGGAAGAGTAATAGACATGTAATCCTGTTATGAAACAAAGGGTCACTCTTCCTTTTACTACTTTGAGCACCCAAAGAAAAATAACATTTAAAAATAATAATACTAATAAAAAAAGCTACACTGGAAATAAAAATCATGTGTGTATTGTATCTATTGTTTAATAGTATTATAATTAACATTTATTGAGGCCATTTACAAAACCTCATTTTAATAATGACTACCACTTTGCTTACTATATGCCCCACTGTTTTAAGTGCTTTATGTATATTAATACTTGAATCTTCTTAATAGTGCTATGGTATAGGTATAGGAAGTATTATTATTTCCATTTTACAGATGAGGAAACTGAGGCATGGAGAAATTGAGTGATTTGCCCAAGGTCAGATCATTTGCAACTAGTAGGTGGCAGAGCCAAGGATTTAAATTAGGCACCCTGGCTCCAGAGGTCACAGTCTTAACCAATATGTTACGTTGCTACTTTATGATCTGATTTAATCCTCAGAAAAGTGCTGTGAAAGAGAGTATGATCTGTACTTTACAAATGAGCCAGCTGAGGTTTGGAGAGCTTACGTGACTTCCCCAAGTGCATAACTAGTAAGTAACAGAACTGTAATTTGAATCTAGGCATTCCAACCCCAAAGTCTGTGCTTTTAACCATTGTGTTACGCTGTTCTGAAGCTGACTAGGGTCTTTTTAAAAATAACCTTAAATACTGCACATTTTAGCCTTTTTAAAATCTAATACTTTTGATCCCAATTACTTTAGGTTTTGATCTAATATTTGAGAATTCCCAGTGTCTGTAGCTCCCAAAGCCATACTAGGTAGATCTTCAAGCCAGGTAAACATTCTGCTCTCTTGAGTTTGCCTCAATTCCCAATCCAAAAAGGCATATTTAGCAGCAATTTTCCTTCTTTCTTTAAGAAGTCATCTTGGTGCTACGTTCTGCTTCCCTCCATGTACATAGAAACTTATTAATATATCCTAACCTTGGTGATTTCTGTGCTTTGAGAAAATGAAAAATAGCTACTTCTTACAAAAATGTAGGAGACCCCCATTTTAATTATCAGAACTCTTTGGTTTCACACTGTTTACCACTGAAAGAAGAGGCTATAAGAGCAAAGATAGTACTTTTCTAGCATTATACACAGTGCAGTTTATTTTATCTAAAAGTTGAAGATAGGCTGCGCATGGTGGCTAACGCCTGTAATCCTAGCACTCTGGGAGGCCGAGCTGGGCAGATTGCTCGAGGTTAGGAGTTCGAAACCAGCCTGAGCGAGACCTCGTCTCTACTAAAAATAGAAAGAAATTAATTGACCAACTAAAAATATATATACAAAAAATTAGCCGGGCATGATGGCACATGCCTGTTGTCCCAGCTACTCAGGAGGCTGAGACAGAAGGATCACTTGAACCCAGGAGTTTGAGGTTGCTATGAGCTAGGCTGATGCCACGGCACTCACTCTAGTGTGGGCAACAAAGTGAGACTCTGTCTCAAAATAAAAAAAATTTTTAAAAATTAAAGTTGAAGATATATTTCCTTTGGAAAATAATTGGGATGTGGTAATATCTGGGACATTTTCAGTGGACATCAAAGTGTTTCAAAACGTTATTTTTCACTTTGCATATTAAAGGATTAGTTTTGCTTGCTTTGTTTGACTTCAGCCGCCCAGCATTAATTTTGGTTTCCATAGCAGCAAGAGTGAGCAACTGGTATTGGAGTAGCCAGAATTGCTGCAGATATTATTATAGAACCCTACCATTGGAAATATTTTAAGTAGCCCTGTATTGAATACTTGTACTTTTCTGACACAACAGAATTTGCTGTTAATAATTTTAGAATGACATACTCATCATTATTCAACATTTTGGAGCTATTTAAAAACCTTTAAGAGAGTCAGGCTAGTATGTGTGTGTATGTGTGTTTGTCTGTGTGTGTGTAGCTCTATTTAGGTATAATTGACATGCAATAAATTATACTGTGTGATGTGATGTTTGACACATGTAGATATCTGTGAAACCATTACCACAATCAATATAGTGAGTATACCCATCATCTCCAAAAATTTTCTCCTGTCCTTTCTCTTTTCTCTTGTTGTTTTTTGTTTGTTCGTTTGTTTGTTTTAGAGTCTTGCTCCGTTCTGTTGCTATAGTGCAGTGGCATAATGATCACAGGTCACTGCACTTTCAGACTCCTGAGTTTCCCCAATGATTAATGATGTTGAATATCTTTTCATGTCCCTATTTGCCATTTATAGATCTTTTTTGGTGAAATATCTGTTCAAATCTTTTGCCAATTTTTAAGTTGGGTTGCTTTTTTTCTTATTATTGAGTCTTGAGAATCTTTAAAAATATATATTCTGAATACAAGGCGTTTATAAGATATATGATTTGCAGATACTTTCTTCCAGTCTGTGGCTTGTCTTTTTATTCTCTTAAGAGTGTCTTTTTAAGTTTTTATTTTGATGAAGTCGAATGTATCAATTTTTTTCTTTTATGGTATTATTGGTGTCATACTAAAAATTCTTTGCCTAACCCAAGGCCACAATTACTTGTCCTGTTTTCTTCTAGAAGATTTATAGTTTTATGTTTTACATGTAGGTCCATAATTTATTTTGAGTTAAATTTTGTATATGGTGTGAAGTATGAATCAAAATTCATTTTTAACACATATATTTAAGAATTCTCCTAATAACTTATTTTTTAAAAGCAACTGACATGATGATTCTAAAATTTCTAGGGAAGAATAAAGACCTAAGAATGGATATAGCACTACTAAAAAAGAATAATAAGGTAGAGGGACTTCCCATGTAGATACCAAGACTCCTTATAAAATGATGGTAATTAAAAACAGTATGTCATTGGCTCAGAAATGGTCAAACTGAACAATGGAATAGAATAGAGAACCCAAAAGTAGACCTATGCATATATGGAAACAATATGGGGGCTGGGGTGGCATTCAAATGACCAGTGGAAGGAGTGACTACTGAATAAATAATGTTGGCACAACTAGGTAGCCATATTTTTTTAAAATGAAATTGGATTCATAATTCATATTCTGTTAAAAAATCCAGATGATTAAAGACTTAAATGTGAAAGGCCAAACTAAAAATTTAGAAGACAATTAAAGAGAATATCTATGACTTTGGAGTAGGGAAGGATTTCTTAAATAAGAAACAAAAAATATTACCCATAAATTAAAAGATTGGTAAATTTAACTACTCCAGAAATGATAATTTTTGTGTATCAAGAATTACCCTAAACAAGGGGAAAAGACAAGTCACAAACTGGGAGAAAACACGCTTAGTTGATAAAGAATTGATATCTACAATATATAAAGAAATCAATGAATAAGAAAAAGAATTAAGTTATAGTAGAAAAATGAGCAAAAGACAGAAGCATTCACAGAAGTGGAAATACAGCTTAAAGGTTTTCAGTCTCCATGTAATCAGAAAAGTACCAGATTTAGAGCACAGTGAGATTTGGTTTTATGCTACTAAGTTTACAGTAATTAATTTTTATTTTTCTCCCTCCCACCTGAGGTACATATACTGTAAACTGTAGCACACTAAACTTCTTGAAATTTTATCATGCAGTTTCTTTTACTGTATACCTAGTTGCTATCATGTAATCCTTTGTTGTTGTTCCCCAGAATAGCCTTAATGTAGTAGTTCTTAAATTGTGGTCCCCAGACCAGCATCATAAGCATCACCTGTGTACTTGTTAGACATGCAGATATTCAGGTCCCACCCTAGACTGCCTTTTCAAGGCTGTTTGTGTAGCAAATACCTCTGCGAGGTATCACATTTCCCTCTAGAATAGAAGGTAGGTTTGCTTATAAACGGTTGAAGTTTCCTAAGCTCTGGATTTATTTTCTGTGCTACAACCCACTGTGAGTGCAGATGCCACCTGGCCTTTGTCCCATCTCTCTGTAGGAATTGGGCTTGGGGAACTTGTACAAGAAAATGATGATGCCCTGGCTATACTGCTATTGCTGTGGGTAAAAAATTGTCATTTGTCTCTAAGTCTGGTATCTTCTAGCTGTATCCATGAAACTCTGGCAGGCTTAACTTCTTAGTTTGCAAGTAGGATAAAACCTCAGATCTTTCACAGTTCTTGATACAAGTCCTCTTTAAGTAAGTGCTCTGAAGTAGGAACAATTGCGTTTAATAATTATTAATAGGAAACATAATATTGAAGTTGAATATATAACAAGACAGATGCTTTTTCCATTGTCAAATTTTTATGTTCAAATATTCTTTAAAATATCTCCATTTCTATCTTTAACTTAGTTACTCATCAAACATTTCTGTGTGTTCTTTTGCTCTTAATTTCTCGGATTTTGGCACCATTAGAAGTTGAGTTGACCCAGAGACAGACAGATGGCTGAAAGTGGTGGAAAAGAAAAAAGAAAATGGACAACCACCATTATTATTAGCTCATCTCTTAAGGTAAAGGGATATTGGGCCATTAATAATCTTTAATTAAAAAATTAAAAGCAGTTTTCATATACAACAATATTTTAAAAGATCCTTTGGCTTAATTATCCACAATTAGTTGTGGGGAGCAGAAGTACATAAACTATTAATAAATGTATTTTAAAGATAAATTATAGATCTGGTATGGTGGCTCACACCTGTAATCCCAGAATTTTGGGAGGCTGAGGCAAGAGGATCATTTGAGGCCAGGAGTTTTAGACCAGCCTGGGCAACATAGTGAGACCTGTATCTACAAAAAATTTAAAATTAGCCGGGCATAGTGGCATATGCCTGTAATCCTAGCTACTTATGGGAAGCTGAGGCAAAAGAATCACTTGAGCCCAGGACTTTGAGGTTGCAGTGAGCTGTGATCATACCACTGCACTGTAGCCTGGGCAACAGAATGAGACCCTGTCTCTTTAAAAAGAAAAAATTAAATAAATAAACAAATTATAAACTTTTGCATCCATTTTCAATATCCTACTTCCCTAAATCTTTGAAGGTTGGAAATTTTCTAAAGTTCTTTTTTCTATCTAAGCTTGCTCAAATAGAGATATTAAGAGATTCCAGAAATAGTAAAGCATATGTATATACATGTGTATATATGTATGTGTGTGTATGTATATCTATAACTTACGGTTTTTTGAGAGATAAACAACCAGAAACTGATCTGCTTAACACTGGCAGCATTGGAAGAAGGCTGGTCTCTCCACATTTCAGAGAGGGAAGTTGAATGCTTGAGGGCAGTTGGACAGCCCACAACTGTTTTTAACTCCTCAGCCCATAGGACTTCTCCATTGCCCTGATATTTATCTTATGGATACCAACTGATATCTGGAATTAGGGACAAGAAATGATTGTTTCATGGTAAGAAGGAGAGAGGCAAGAATAAGACTTAAAATAAGATTTTATTTATCTATCCTATCCTCTCCCTACTGCTTCAAGCTGCACTTCACACTGTTGGCTTTAGCCATCTAGCTCTATAACACATGCCCATATAATACAGCCTTAAATCTTACTGGAATTTTTCATGCTGCTTTTTGTTAGTTTTTTGGAATTCATGTTTCTCTCTTGTTTCTATAGCTTTTCCAGACTGCTTTTGAGAGAGGGAGTCTGCAACCCATGCTAATTTGCCAAAAGCAACTACTTCTAGTTCATTTATTTATTATATTTACCTGTCTTGCTTTGTGCTTTATGTTTGTTCCACCTTTTCTATTTCTTTTTTTCTACTTTATTTACTCTTTTTGTATTGATTGGTTATTTTTTCTCTACGAGCTTTGGAAGTTATATGTTCTATTTCTACCTTTTATAGTAGTTATCCTAGAAATATTAACATATACAGTTGACTCTTTGTTTTTTTTTGTTTTTTTTGAGACAGAGTCTCACTTTGTTGCCCAGGCTAGAGTGAGTGCCGTGGCGTCAGCCTAGCTCACAGCAGCGTCCAACTCCTGGGCTCAAGCAATCCTCCCGCCTCAGCCTCCCTAGTAGCTGGGACTACAGGCATGCGCCATCATGCCCAGTTAATTTTTTCTATATATTTTTAGTTGTCCAGCTAATTTCTTTCTATTTTCAGTAGAGACGGGGTCTTGCTCTTGCTCAGGCTGGCCTCGAACACCTAAGCTCAAGCGATCCTCCCACCTCAGCCTCCCAGAGTGCTAGGATTATAGGCGTGAGCTACTGCGCCTGGCCTACAGTTGACTCTCAACACAGATTTGAACTGCACTTAGAAGTGGAGTATTTTTCTTCATCCAAAGCCTATAAAAAATATGGAATTCACAGGATGCGAAACTCATGAACATGGAGAGCCAACTTTTCCTATATGCGTGCAGGTTCTGCAGAATGACTGCAGGACTTGAGTATGCAAGGATTTGGGTACACGTGAGGGTATTAGAACTAATTCCCCTGCATATACCAAGGGATAACTGTATACTCAACTCCACAAAAACCAAAATAAACAATCATCTTTAGCCTCCATGTAAACAGCAAAAGAAACCTAGAACACTATAATTACAAATACCCTTTCTGTATTATATCTTATTGTTATATATTTTAATTCTATTTTTTAACTACACAGAATACTATTTTTTAAAGTTAATGTCTGTTTAGATTTACTCATGTCTTTGCTACTTTCTTTGCTCTTCTTCTTCCCAGGGGTGCATAGGATCACCTGAGCTTCTTTATCTCTCCCTTGGGGCCATGTAGTAGCAGCAGGCATGTCCACAGTTATGTGGTATCTAGGCTCACAGAGTAGTACATGGCTCAGGCTGCTCTAGGGTCAGCTTCTATGTGGATTTCCTTTCTTGAGCAATGTTTCTGTGCTGTCTCCAAGCAGCTCCCTATGGTTAGGCTTAAGACCTGTGTGGGTTGGAGGGTTCCCTTGTAGCCAAGATTGTAAAAGCTTATCTCACAGAGTGGAGCCCCAGGCGCTTCTTTCTTATTGTTTCCTCACATCCAGGAGCTTCTTCTCTCAGCTGCTAGCCAGGCCTTGCCCTGCCGTGTAACTTGCCCTGAACCCTCTCCTTGCTTATTTTTGGTGCTTCCCATCACTTCCCTGGTGAAACCTAGTGTTCTCTCCTAGATGATATGCTTGAAATGTGAGAATCTGCTTACTATTCTGGTTCCTCTTCATGGAGGTGGAGGAGGCATATACTACTTGAGTCTAGTTGACTATCTTGATCCTATTAGAAATGTATACATTTTAAACACACATTTTGGTGAGTTGGACAAATGTGTATATCTGTATAACTATTACCCCAATCAAAATATAGAACAGTTTCATTACCCTAGAAAGTTCCTTCTTATTTTATTTTATTTTTAATTTATTTTAATTTAAATTTAGAATTACATATTTATTTCTTTTTTGACCACCTATTTTCTTCCTATTGAGAAGGTAGAAAGTTCCTTAATGGATTTTTGTAGTTAGTCCTTTCCCACCTCTCTATCTCAGGCAACCAAGGAGCTGATTATTACTATAGATTAATTTTGCCTGTTCTAGAACTTCACATAAATAGAATTATACAATTTGTAATCTTTTGTGCCTGGTGTCTTTCACTGAGCATAATGCTTTTGTGATTCATCCATGTTGTTACATGAAACAATAATTTGTTCCATTTTATTAAGTACTAGTCCATTATATGAGTATATCCTGATTTATTAATTAATTTATTTATCCATTCACCAGTGGATGGGTATTTGGGTTGTTTCCAGTTTTGGTCTATTATAAATTAAGCTGTTATGACCACTGATATATAAGTCTCTGTGTAGACATATGTTTTCATTTCTCTTGTAAACACCTAGGAATGGTACTGCTGGGTCATATGGTAATTGTATGTATATCTTTATAAGAAATTGCCAAAATGTTTTGTAAAGTTCACTAAAAGTGAACACCATTTAACCATGCAACTAAAATTAGAATAAATGTACAGATTATAGTTTTGTACTACCATCAGTAATATGTAAGAGTTCTAGTGGCTCTAAATTAAAAGATACTTCTTACTGGATTTATAGCTGTTTTCTCTCAGCACATTGAAGATCTCATTTTACTGGATTCTGGATGCCATTGTTGCTGTTAATAAGACAGCAGTCAGTTTAATTGTACTCTCTTGAAGATTACCTGTCTTCTCTCTGGCTGCTTTTCAGATTTTGGCATTCTATAGTTTAAAGGTATAGATTTCTTTTTATCTTTTGAGTCTTCATGAATCTGTGAATTGGTGTCATTTATAAGGTTCTTATCTATCATCTCCTTTAATATTGCGTCTGTCCTATTCTCTCCTTCCTTTCCCTCTGAACTCCTATTAGATGTGTATTAGATCTTCTCATAATATCCTCCATGCATTTTTGCCCTCTCTTCTTCTTTTCCATGTCTTTGGGCTGCAATCTAGGTGATTTCATCAATTCCATCTTCCATAGCAGTAATTCTCTCTTTACTCCTGTTAAACTTATCCTCTCAGGGTTTTATTGTTATTGTTTATTTTATTATACTTTTTTTCCCTGTAATTAAAATTTTTTTTATTTTTAATTATCATGGGTACAAAGTATTTGTATATTTTTATAGGGTACATGTAATGTTTTGATACAGGCATACAGTGTGAGTTAATCAAATCAGGGTAATTGGGGTATCCATCACCTTAGGCATTTATCATTTGAGGATCATTTCAGTCCATGAGTTCAAGGTTATAGTGAATCTTGATCGGGCCACTGGATTCCAGCCTGGGCGACAGAACAAGACCCTGTCTCTTAAAAAATGACAAAACAAATCATCACCATAACTAAGGTTATCTAGGTTTTCTCCTGTGTTATCTTCTAGGAATTTTATAGTTTTGCATTTTATCTTTAGGTCTACGGTCCATTTTTGGTTAATTTTTGAGCTGGGTGTAAGGCCTGTGTCTAGATTCATTCTTTTTGTGGATATCCAGTTGTTTCATCACTCTTTGTTTAAAAGAACTATCTTTGTTCCATTGTATTGCCTTTGCTCCTTTGTCAAAGATCAGTTGACTATATGGGGTTCTGTTTCTTAGCTCCCTCTTCTTTTTCCTTGATCCATTTATCTACTCTTTCACAAATACCACAGTCTTGATTACTGTAGCTTTATAGTAGATGTTGACGTTGGCTAATGTCAGTCCTCTGACCTTGTTCTTCTCCAATGTTGTGTTGGCTGTTCTGGGCCTTGCCTCTTCAAATAAACTTGAAAATCAGAGTTTGTCAATATCCACAAAATAGCTTTCTGGGATTTTGATGGGATTACACTGAATCTGTAAATCAAATTTGGAAAAACTGACATCTTGACAATATTGAGCCTTCCCATCCATGAACATGGAAATTTTGTAGTTTTCCTCATATAGATATTATATGTATTTTGTTAGATTTATCTCTAAAGTATTTTATTTTGGGGGGTACTAACAAATAGTTTGGTATTTTAAATTTAAAATTCCATTTTTTCATTGTGATATATATTAGTAGGAAAATAATTGATT